GTCCCAGACTTTTAACTCTTTCTCTTCTGTGCTCTCAGTGAATGTGTTTTAGGTCACCTGTGGTCACTGGTACCATCCTTCCCATCCGTGGAAAATAAGCCCGCATTTTCTAATTGAACTAAATAGGCTATGACTGCAGTTGATGGAAAATGGGCAACTGTGTGTGCCACGAAGAGTCAAACGCCCTTTCCAGGCTGGCTCTGCGTCCAACATAAATTATCCCCGTATGTCTGCAGAGGGGTTCATCTTTCAAGTATGAGAAAAGCCAAGAACCTCTCATCCTTATGAAACTCACTTTGAAAAAAATACCCAACATTTGCCAGTTCAATCGTTTTGGATTGGCTTGTGAGCATTAAAACCATTTTTTACTAAGGAAAAATCCCCAGCCAGGCTGAGAAAGCTTGTATCAAGTTTCAGCCTGATTCATTTCAAAAACCATCGTGAAACTCGGGACATTTTCTTCACACCACAATGAGTTAGTCATGGAAAGTCTGCCTTCATGTCAGCTAGCACGGCTGCAGTCACGAGAGCACGCTCAGTGCCACCGACAGTTTCTGCTGCCGGGTGGCAAAGTCCCCCTCCCCTGTTAGAAAGCAGAAGTGCACCGCAGTTGGGGCTCTGAGCCTCCCTCTTCAGCAGGTGACCTCTCTTCTTTCTGGAAGTTGAGCTTTGCTGTCGTGTGTCCAAAAAGTGCTTTTTACAAGCCTCACCTGGAAAGTTCAACGCAGCTGGGTATGCATGCAGTGGTCAAAAGAGGGGCTCCCCCTGCAGGACTCTGGCCATCCTCTTCTTGAGTGACAGGGACCAAGCAGTCCTGTCGGCCATCTGTCAATCTGTTGAGGAGATGCTGGCGAAGCGTGGCCAGCCTTCAACGTGTCCGGATGTTTTTAGCGTAGACCTGAGCCAGTAAAACGAAGCGGGCCAGCCAAGCATCCTCTGCAGCCGCGGCACAGGGTGCTGCCTTCCACCCCGGGTGGCCACCTCATGTCCCGGTAGTGGGCGCCTCTGGAGGCGGCGCTCCTGGAATCAGAGTTTCTTCTTGGGATGGGTTATTCATCTGTCGGCTAGTTCATTTGTTCACCTGTTCCTTCATTCACAGAATATTAAGCACGTTTTTCCCAGGAACGTGCTAGACTTTGAGAGCACAAAGATGGGTTCCTGTCCTCCTGGGGTCAGGATCTAAGCTTGGAAGACACATGCCGTGCCTCTGAGTCATTCTGAAAGGGTAATTTATTATGGACAACTTCGTATGTTGTCACACCCTCAACAACGCCCAGGTGGACTTCGTTATTTTAGTGGGCCCTGGGAGCTGGGCGGGGAGCATAGATGGAGTCCTCCCTGGAGCCCTGCAGAAGTTTCCTGGGTGTGGCCTTGTGTGTCCCTACACACCAGTGGCCATGCTGAGTCCTTGCGGGGGGACGAGGGGGGCTGAGTGCCATCCGCTCCCCTTGCTCCCCACACCCCGCTTCCACCCCACTCCGCCTGCTGGGTCACCTCACGGCCACCTTCTCCCACTGCAGCCTTTTCTGACTCGTCACCGATCCCCCGAGCCTTCGGGCGCCACTTTGATCTGCTGCTTGGGCGCCTCTGTGGCCCCACACACCAGGTCAGCACTGCCCAGCCTGGCCTGGGAGGAGCCCGCTGGCCTGGGCAGGCCGTCCCCTCAGCAGCCCCGGAACACCCTGCCACTCCCCTGGTGGTGGTGCCCTGGGGCCCTCTCGTCGCTGCTCAGTCCAAGCCTTCCTGCTCCCTGCCTGCCCCTAGCCTCTGCCAGAGCAGTGCTTCTCTACGTGGTGGCTTGGGGGAGACTGAAAAACTGCTTCGCCCAGGCTACACTCCCAAAAATTCAGTCCTCACAGAGGGACCCAGGCATGAGTCATTTTTTTTTTTAATTGTCCAGGTGATTTCACTGTGCAGCCACGGTGGAGAACCAGAGTGAATTAGCCTTTAACTGTTCACTGCTTCACCCTCCTTCACCCTGCTCATCTTTGGCCTCCAGAGCTTATTTCCGTTTCCAGGACAGAGTCCTGGTACAGGCGGGCCCTCTCAGCCCCTGGTAGTGTCCAACCAAGGCCCTCAGCAGCAGCTCGATTGCTAGAACGTTTAATGGCCTTCTCCATCACCTCCTCTGCATCTGCTCCTCTCCTCTCCCCCAGGCTCCCCTGGCCCCGTGTGCCTCCTGTGCCCCATACCCAGCCCCCACCCTCCAGGAGACCTCCCTGTCCTGGGCCTTCTTCCCTTCTCCCTGTTGGGGAGCCACATGGAGAACTTGCTAAACTCGTATGTAGCGTGCACACAAGAATATCTGTGCAACACCTTTCTATTAACAAAAAGAGGAGGAATGATTGGGGAACTAATTATCCAACAATAGGGGGTTGATTCAATAAATCATGAATTGCAGCTCAACAGAGATTATGCAACCATCAAAATATTTACAGAGAACTCTTGGAGTCATGGCATATGATGTTAGGTGAAATAAGCTGAATTCAGTTCTCCATATAGTGTGAACTGGACTATCTACTTTTAGAAAAAGAACCTGAAGGGTTATATATATATACTGAAACACTAATAGTGGCCATCTCAGTGTGGTAAGGTTATACTTGACTGTCCTTTGTTATAATTTTATGTTTTTCCTAAAACAATTGTACTTTAAGCATGTACTCCTTTTGTAATCAGAGAAAAAGTGATTCAAAAACTAATTGGGGAGACATTAATATAAGATGATGACCTAGGGCATCAAATGAAGTGTATAATGGGGAATTTTGATTTCAAACAGCATGGAGTTAGTAGAGGTAAGTCCCAAGGTGTGGCCACAAGAGGAACCTTTGAGGAAAATAAGATTCTCTTAATGGGAAGGCCCCTGAGAGGGTCAGGCCAGTGAGCTGGCTCTCAAGAGGCCCACCTAACTATGGGAGTTTTGGCCTGGGCACAAGGTGTGCTGAGCCGACTGGCAAGGTGGGGCTTTTTGGGAGCCTCGCATTGGTCTTAGGTACTGATTGGCTCCCCTGTGGCCTCAGAGCACCACTGATACTTTTCTTTGTTGTCTCTGCAGATAGTTAACCTTTGGTTATACTTCCCTTGCCCTGATAAGATGAGTTCATTGAATAATTATTCATTTACCAGGTGCTAGAATAAAGTCATATAATCTTGGGTATGATGTAATGGTTTGTGCTTGGTTTTGTCTTCCACTAAAGGAACTAGCCTGCAGACAACACCTGCCTATTCATTAATAGAATAAAGCTGACCATCACACAGCCAGACCACTTACTATAACCACCAATAAAAGAGCTCTCCCCAAAATAAGGAGGGAAAAAAACACACCTAGTTTTAATCTTTTCTGTCCTGAGCCCCCATATTTGCACTTATAGCAGTTATGGTGCTTTCAGCTGTGAATAAAGGATATCTGATTAAAATTGGCTACAATAACAGAAGGTTATTAATTTTACATAGCAAGAAATCCGAGCACTAGATGATTCCAGGGTCAGTGGGTGGCTCATCGGGGTTGTCAGTCATCCAAAGTCTTTCTATTCTTCTCCTCTGCCATCCTCAAAATCTCCAAGAGCATTGGAGATTTTGAGCCCCTGTCTGCCTTCATGGCCATAAGATGACTCCCACAGGGTGTGCCTGGGTGGCTCAGTCAGTCAAGTGGCCAACTCTTGGTTTCGGCTCAGGTCACGATCTCAGAGTGGTGAGCCCTGCATCAGGCTCCGCACTAAACGGGGAGTTGGTTTGTGGATTCTCTCTCTCCCTCTGCCTCTGTGCCTTCTCCCTGCCACCCACCCCTACTTATGCTCTCTCTCTCTCTCTAAAATAAATAAATAAATCTTTTTAAAAAATGGCTGCCACAGTTCCAGGCAACCTGTCCATGCACAACAGCATCCCAAGCAGGAAAAACGAAAGGGCTGCCATATAAATGGCCTTCTCATTTCCTTTCAACAGAGACTGTAGACTTCCCCTTTTTCCTTCAGTAATTCAAATTTGGGCTATGTAGCCACCTCTAGACGAATCACAGGCAAAGAGGAGCAGGATTGGTCTCATTGGCTCAGACTAAACATGGTTCCTGAAACAAAACTGGAGCTCCATTAAAAGGAGAATGGGAAATGGTTTGGGAAGGCAGTGCCTGGCATGGCATATGAAATACGACCTACTCATCAGCAAGAGTTGGCATTCCCACAGTCACAAGCGATAATGGGTCTGTGTGTCAGCCTCTCTCTGCCAGACATTCCTTTGTGCATCACATACACACATCTACACTGATTTGTAAAACCTCAGAACTAGATAGAATGAGGTGACCCCTTGACCTAACCATTTGTTGAAGAGGGTGGAAAAGTAAAGGTGGAGGCCTTCCTCCTGGACACATGTGAGGTACTGTTATGATCTGGCTGGATGATTCTATGTTCATCTGAGGCTCCCTGAGGGCAGAAGGTAGCCTGGGTATCTGGCCCCACGTGTAACACAGAGTAGCTGCTCAATCATAATGGAGTGAATGAGTGAGCAGATGGATGACCAAAGATCATGTCTCCATTGAGTGATACATCTCAAAGCAGAATGGTGCCGGGTTCTGGGAGTTATCTGGAGATGTAGAAGCTTGCTCTCCACCTCCAGGGAGTTTATAGTCTAACTAGGGTGATGGCCAGGCTGTGGCTTCACAACCAGAGGAGGAGCCTGCCCTTTCATCTCTTTTGAAAATCAATGTTCAGCATTCGCATCCCATGACTATCATACCTGTGATAACTGCTTTTTGTGTTGAGACCACAAGAATGTTCTATCTAGCAAAATGAACTTGCATTTGTGGAAGAAAGAGGATTCCTCCTTTACCCCTTTTTCTGTAGCTTTTAAAGACTTACCATGTTTATTGGATGACCAGAGGATGGAAATCACCTTCATAAATCCAGACGTGAAGGATGAGTATTAAGGAAACGAGGTGCTTGTGGCCTGTTGTAAGAATCTTTCCTCATGCCTATTATTGCTCTTAAATCTCTGTTTTACTTTTGTTTTAGACCTAGAAGGTTTTGACTCCGTGGTATCATCTACTGAGAAACTCAGCCACCCAACCACAAGCAGACCCAAAGCCACGGGGAGACGGCCCCCGTCCCAGTCCCTCACATCCGTAAGTGTCTACCCACTTCTGCTGCTGCTGAAAAGCAGGGCAGGCTGGAGACTCCAGCCAAGGACTCCCCTGCGACTGGCTGATATGAGGACAAGCCAGAAGAGGGAGGCCAATGAGATACACTGCTGACCAAAAGTGATTGGAGAGTCTTCTGGAATTAAGCAGTATTTCTTTCCCTTGTTCTTTGCATATCTGCCAGTGAAGTGGACACTACCTAGTCCCACTTTCCTTCTCTCTCCTTCCAGACTGATCCTTATTTGACCCTGAATGAAATTGGTAAGAAAAAAAAATGTCATGTTTTATGGTGGGAGAGGAGAGCAAGGCTCGTTTGGTCTATAAACAAAACTTTGCTAAAGAATGATCCACCACTTATACAGGTGCATGACAGTGGCCAAGCTTTTTTCTCCCAAAGCGCCATTATTGGCATCCCTCCATGGAACCCCGCACATGCCTTTAGGAGATTGCTTGTAACATACAAGGTACGTGGTCATATAGGAGAGATACGTCAGAACACTCCAGATAACCCACAGAAGTTTTTTGTTTGGGTCATTTTGAATAACTTCTTTCCTCACTGGAAGCCTGTAACACATTTGTTGTACCAAATTTCAACAGTGAAATGCACAAAGAAGAAAGTAAGTGACCTGTGCCTGTAATCCTGCTTTCCAGAGCTAAGAACTGTTAACTACTTGCTGTCTATCTGTAGCTTTTATTTAAAATTCTATTTGTATATATAACGTTATTTCTTCCAAATGGGGTACATAGTACATGCCTTCCCCCCCTTTATATTGTGCACCTTTCTCCCCAATCATTGCCCATTCTTCCATGATGTCACATTTAATGGCTGCCTAGTGTTCCAACCTGTGAGTGTATGAGAGTTTACCTAGTCAGTGCACTATTATTGGACACTAATGTTGCTTCTACTTCTTTATTATAAACACGGGTGTGAATGTCATTGGAGAAAAAATCTTGATGCATCCACAAGCAGTGTCTCTCTCTCTCTCTCTTTCTCTCTCTCTCTCTCTCTCTCTCTCTCTCTCTCTTCTCTCTCTCTCTCTCTCTTTCTTTCTCTCTTTCTCTCTTTCTCTCTCTCCTCCCCCTTGTCTCTATATAGCACATTGTCTTGTCCTTGCTGGGAATGCAGGTCTAAGGCCTTATGACCTTCATTCACCCAGATACATCAAGGAATTAACCTTTTGCAGGTTTTCCAGAACATTTTTCTACTTCCGCCTCATCACTGATCCCCCCTGAAGAGGTCCTCATTTAGAAGAAAAAGAATGCCACTTCCTTTGAACCTCTTCTCTCATTTCTGTTGAGTTTGGGGGTGTGGTTTGAATCATGCTATTTTTCCTCTTTGTATGAAACAAACCTCACTATGTGTTGATACCTTTTTTGGAAGAAAGACTTGACAAAGTGGCTTACTTTTTCACTCTTTATTTAGAGTTCTGTGTCACTACCATCTTTCCTCTCCCTACACCCTCCCCAACATGCCTCTCTCACACACAACCTATTTAATTTCTTCTTAGTCTGAGTGTTTGATCCTACCTCCCACATCTTCTCTATAAATCCTTCTTCAGTTTTGTTTTTCCTCCAAATCCTTCCCAACTTTTCAAGATCTAGAGGGCCTTGAGGCATCCAGAATTAAATACAGAGAAAGCCAATTTACCATCCCCTACCCCACCCTTGATTCATACATCCCATGCCTGGGGATTTGTGTATATCTGGGGGACCGCATAAAGGCACCTCATCTTCACTTGCTCTTAGCCTACACCTTTGGTCATTCACTCATTCAGCTAATATTTATAGGCATTTATGGCATGCGGACTCAGCTCTGAGCCATGTGCCAAGGAGTGAGCCGTACCTGGTCCCTGCCCATAGGAAGCTTATGGCACTGTGACTCAAAGTTGGGCATTTTATGTGGAACGATTTCATTCGTGGACCTAAAATAACAGGATACATTTGTGCTTTAAAGAAGTATAATTACTCTCTTCTGTTTGTTCCCACCCATCCCCACATGGCTGTGTCCTTTGAATTTGTATTTGCTCTTCCTCCATTTAGCACCCATAGGTTTTTCATAGCAAAATGGGATCGTGGATATGGACCTATTCCTAACAGGCCACTGGAGGGAATGACTGGGCAAAGGCACCTGTCAGAATTCCCCAGCCTGGGGCCTCTCATCCTAGTCTGAGCTATTTATGTTTATTGAATTCATAGAGCAAGCTTTGATTGGCAGCTCATGAACTGTAGGTTACACAGGAGGAAGCTGGCTTTTTGAATAAAATCTCAAAGCGAGGGGATACAGGCATTGCAAGGTGGTTAAGCAGTTAAGCTTAGATTAATAAGAAAGCTTAGTTGGAGGTATTATTCTAGGTAATTGGATTTTCAGATAAAACAAAGATTAACAAATAAGACCTTTTAGTTTTAAAACTTTGCTTACAAATCCCTAGATATATTAGTTTTCTGCCTTAGAAAATCGAGTAAACAGAATAAAATAAATATGGTGTGATGTAGGCATTATTTTTCTGTAATGACACCAGGGATGATCCTAAATGGAACAGTTTTCCCACCACCAGGGTAGACAGCAGAAAGCTGCAGCTAAATACGAGCTCACCCAAAGAGATCTCTGGAAGATGCTTTGTTTAAAAAAGATCCCTTGCCATGGGAACTCTTATTTTCATTTGCTTTATCCTGAAATAGCGAAATTCTTGCACAGGAGTCATTTATATCCAAGTGAACTCCAGTGAGTTGGTTTACATTCATCCAGCCTTTTGATATTCACAGTGAGGCAGAAAGGGTAGGAGTATTATCCCCATATTTTACCAAAAGATGCTGTCATTCTGTACATATAGCTTAGTGAAAATAGAATCTACAACAGATGTAGATTGTCCATGGCAATGAGGGTGAAGATTTAGCAGCTGGTCCCACAATTAGAGGTGAGCTTGCCCTCTGGCAGGCAGGGGTGTGCCCTGGGGCTGCAGAAATGCTCCTCCCTGGCCTGCAGGCCTGTGACCTCCTGCCCCCTGAATGGTTTCCTCTCAGATAAGTTCTTGCAGGCACTTCACTATGCCTTAGATCTCGTGGTCCTGGAAAATGATCCAGAGGGAATGGAAGAGAGGCAGGTTGGAGGCAGCCTCGTCTTGCCCTGTGTCCCTCCCCACTGGATTGTCAGCCTTGCAAGAGCAGGGACCATGTTCGGCATGTCATCTAAGTGCAGCACCAAGCTCAGTGCTTAGTACACAGTAGCAAATGTTCACAGAAAGAAGGGAGGCTCCGAAGGATGGAGGGAGCAGGAAGGGCTGGGTGACGCAGGCCCGCACAGGTGACGTGACCGACGGGCATCAGTGCAAAGATCTCATGGAAAGATCCCTGCTGTAGGAAATCTTGCTTCCTAATCCCAGTTCTGCCACTATCTTTAGTGCACAGATAATAGCACCCTTTCTGCCTCTCGAGGTTATAACGAGCAGACAAACAAAACAGAAATATCAAGTGCTTTGAAAAGCATACAGCATTATGTTAACAAAAGCTATGTCAGCTAAGGTGTAATTCTGACAAAAGCGTTTTCTTTTGGCTTTATCCAGTCTTCCCTTTCAAGCCCTGATATCTTTGACTCCCCAAGTCCCGAAGAAGATAAAGAGGAACACGTTTCGCTTGCACACAGAGGAGTGGAAGCATCAAAGAAAACTTCAAAGACTGTTACCATATCCCAAGTGAGTGACCAGCCACGGCAAGGGGGTCCTGACAGCACGGACCCCTCCCTGCCTTTTTGCGTACGCTCTGATGAGGAGTTACAAACCAAACAAGGATCAACAGATGTTGTAGTCAGGCTGCTATAAAAGAGAGCCCTAGATGGGGTGGCTTAGAGACAACAGAAATTTCTTTCTCACATTTCTGGAGGCTGGAAGTCTGAGATCAGAGTGTCAGCACGGTCAGGTTCCAGTGAGGGCCCTCGTCAAGGTTGCAGACCACTGACTTCTCATTATAGCCTCATGTGGTGGAGAGAGGGTGAGGGAGCTCTCTGAGGTCTCTTTTCTAAGGGCACTGATTCTGTTCACGCGGGCTGCACCCTTATGACCTGATCGCCTCCCAAAGGCCCCACCTCCTAATACCATCACCACAGCGGGGCAGGATTTCCATGTCTGAACTTGGGCAGGGGGGGGGGGGACACAGACAGTCCAGTGCAACAGAGAATGCAAGGTTTTGTCACCCTTCAGTAACAGTTATTGCTTTAGTCCCCAAATCCCTGAAGCGTGTTTCAAAGTCCCTAAAATTGGACAGTTTCTCTGAGATAGAGGTTTCGTTGTTGATTTTCCAAGTTTTCTCTTGTGGTTTGATCTCTCCTTCATACCATCGGCCACACATAAACGTACACCCTCACACACCAACGTCACTGTCACCACCATCACCAGAGCAGCTTGAAGAAGGAATGCATCACACACATCAAATGCTGTGCACCCTACCCACACGTCTTGGCTTTTGTGTTCAAAAGTGATGGTGTCACAGATTATGTTGAGGCAGCACAGGACTTTGAATAACTAGTGGGGGGTCCCTTAAAGAAAAGCTGATTTGGGTTCATTTATTACAATAAATTTAGAGTCTAAAAGCATTTCTGTTTCATTGCATGCCCAGGAAATGGTATAGCTATTTTAAGTCGCTGGCTTGTGAGAAACAAAGAAGACAGTGGGTAGCAACTGTGTGTGGCTCTTGAAGGACACCCTGTACTAATCCTGTTCACCCTCTGAATGAACAGGACTAGTGTTCTCATGCTAAGGGAACCCAGTCAATTGGAATTATTTTCTATACACATTAGCAACTGCTTTCTGCCTAACAGCAGAAAATTGCAGTCATTTTTTAAAAGACACTTGAACCGGGAATTAACACAAAGAAATCACAGGGTGTGTGGGATTTTCCTTCTCGCAGATTTAAGAATTTACACATATGTCTAGATTTTCTTAAAAACCCGGGCTAAAGTAAGCAAAAACTGTGATCCTGTAAAACACATCAATGGTAGTTATTCACAAAACTGAAGCATTCTTCCTTTATGAAAGGACTCCATTTGCAGAAATTGGGTTTAGCCTCGGTTTCTGATGAGCATAGGTATGCCTACCGCTGCATGCTCTCTGCCTTCCCCGGGGTGTCTCTGGGGTGACACCTGCTGGCGGGCCGTGGCTCTTCGTGTTTCAGATTCTCACAATTCCATCCCAGTAGTCTTATTTCCTTTCCTGGAAGTTGTCATGTCATGTCGTCTATTGCTTCTATAAATTCCACCTGAACTAATCCGGTCAGGGTGTATGGTGGCTGATACATATGCGAGGGCTCGCAAAGGTTCTTGTCAGCTGCAGTGGGCTGAGAGAGAGAGTTGCTTGGGAAATGCTGAAGGAAGCGTTGATTGAAGAGTTGCCTGGAAGTCAGTCTGTGAGGAGGACGTTGGTCGGTTGGAAGAGGCACGGGAGGATGCAAGCTGGGAAGTGGGGAGAAGTATGAGCCCAGGAACAGGCAGGAAGCCGAGAATAAAAGAAGCCAAGAAAATGATGACAGGAAAGCGTGACTGGTCACGCTCAGGCAGCCACAGTCGCGGTATGGGGCTCGAGGGTCCAGCCGGCAGGGCAGAGGATTGAAGCCCAGGATTAGCGGTGAGACTTGGGGAATTTGCTGACCACGTGCCTAAGCCTCAGTTTCCTGCTTTGTCAGAAGCGTACGCCGGCTGATCCTTGGCATCTAGCCGACGGCCGGCATGCGACCGGAGCTCCATAAATGTCACTCCCTCTTCCCTCTTACTACAACTCCTACAGCAGTAAGCACAGGACGGCAGATCGCCGTGCCTGGCAGCAGAAAGCGCTTTTCCTCAATGGTAACTTGGCAGAGAAAAGGCCGGCAGAGAGGCTGGGAACGATGGCCCATCTGCTTCTGGCTCCCTGTGCCCAGTCTCTCCCTCTAGCACAGCCGGAATCCGCACTCTCCTCCTCCCCGTGCCAGCCAGGCCCCTTCTTGGCTCTTGCCCTGGGCACCTGCTGCTGGAGGAGTCCCAGCTGTGTGCTGGGCTCCACCAGCAGCCTCAACTTCCCCATCACTCAGCCCCTCACCTCCCAGCATCCTGTCTGCTGCTTGCCCTCCTCCCCACCTGCCCTAGGTCTCGGGATCTCCCCTGCCCCGGGGTGGCCCTGCTCCCCTCTTCCTTCCCACTCCCTGTGCCCTCCCGGCCTCGGCCGGGCCGCTCCTCCATCAGGCCTCCTCCACCTCCAGCCTGGCCTGCTGTTGGTCTTTCCCCGAGGATATCATCCAGCTCGGCGTCTCCCTTCTTTGAAAGCACACAGAACCCTTGCATGATTGCGCCTCCTCCCGAGGCTTCTCCGTGAACGCTCTCTTGCTCCCATCTTCCATCTTCAGCCAGGGTTTCTGAAAAGAGAGTCCTAAACGTGCAGGCCGCACGCTTCCCCTTCTGTCCAGGTGCTGACCTGCGTGAGCAGGCCTCGGTCTCCTGTGTTGCACTAAATGGCCCCCAGCCCCTGTTTTCCTCTCAGCACCCTGACCCACTTATCCAACCCTTCTTTTCCTTCTGGAAACCCCTCAGGTCTTCTGGTCTTGCTTCATCTCCTCGCGTGGTGCTGTCCCGGTCCCCAATGGCTCTCACTTCTCTTCTCACCCCGTCAATTCAGGGAACCCCAGGTCCCGCCACGGGCCTCTTCTCCCCAGCTTCGGGGTTATTCACCCCCACGGTGCCACTTCCTCGAGGGATTTCTCTGGCCCAGCTTACATTTTATTTCTTGGCTCTGCCCCCTGGACACATCCCCCTTGGCTCTCCCTCGGGCTCCCGAAACTCAGTGTGTCAAACTGTCCTCCGGGCCTTGGGGCTGTTCCTCCTGCCGTGAAAGGTACAGCCTCCACGCCTGCTCCCTCCGTCCCCACCCATGGCCCTGCAGCCTGTCTGGAGCCACATCTGCGGGGTGTCTGCTCCCTGAGGCCAGGCACCCCATCTCTCGTTGGAAGAGCCTGCCTTTGCCACATCTCTCAGAGCTATCCCTGCTCTGTTCCCTTGGCCACCATCTGTCAAAGCCCCACCATTCCTAGCTTTCATTGTAGGAGAACCTCCCAGCAATCCTGTTGGCCTCCAGGCCCTGCTGCAGCCAGAGTCGTCATTAGCTTTGTGCAGGATGCTTTCACCCCTTCCCACAAGCCTGCTCTGCCTCCCCAGCCTGAGCCCCCCACCCTGTGCTGTCCTTGCTGCTGAGTGCCCGCTTGCCATGTGTCTCATGCCTTTGCCGAGCCCATTCCCTCCTCCTAGAACCTTTCTCTCTGGTCACCCTTGCTTTTCTGGCCGCCTCCTCATCCTCCTTCTCCAGGATGGGACTGTCAGCAGCACCCTGCCACCTTCCCTCGGGGACAGTCGGTCCCTTTTGTGTACTTCTGTGGCTCTCTGTGCTTCCCGCCCTGTGTGCAGAACCCCCACGGCTGCAGTGTGTCGGCTAGTCTGTCCTCACCTTCCTGTGTTCTGAGCTCTTGGGAGCTAGGAAAATGCTTTGCTCACTTCAGAGTTTGCAGAGCCTAGCAATCAGGTGGGCCTCCAGACTTGTACATTCAACCAGCTAGGGACTACCTGTCCAGGTGGGTGGTCACATTTAAAACACACAGGAGGAGGCACTTGAAGCGAGGAGGCCTGTGCCAGGTAGGCCTTCGGGGGCTCATGGGTGAAGGGATGAGTGACAAGTATGTATCGAGAGGTGAGTACAAGGATGTAGATGGAGGACTTCCTTGAACTTGAATCCCTGGCCTGAATCCTCCCTGCCTTCCCTCATCACAGGTGTCCGACAACAAAGCATCCCTGCCGCCCAAGCCAGGGACCATGGCTGCAGGTGGTGGTGGCGGGCCAGCCCCTCTGTCCTCGGCAACATCCTCCCCCCTGTCATCCTCTTTGGGAACAGCAGGACACAGAGCCAACTCCCCGTCTCTGTTTGGCTCGGAAGGAAAACCAAAGATGGAGCCTGCGGCCAGCAGCCAGGCGGCCGTGGAGGAGCTAAGGACGCAGGTCCGCGAGCTGAGGAGCATCATTGAGACCATGAAGGACCAGCAGAAGTGAGTGTCTGGGGCCCAAGTTGCTCTCCACTGGGCCAGGGCCTCATTCTGCAGGCTTGGGTCCCCCACCTGCCCAAGTGTGTGGCCCACTTCCCCAGGGTGGTGGCAGCAGGTATGGGATGGGCTTGAACCTGAGAGGCTTCGTGTCACGCAGCTCCTTGTGTCAACCAGGTCTGCTGCATACAGGGAGGGCACGGGCTGGCTGCCGGGTACACAGCAGTCACTTACCAGGACTAATGCACTCGGCAGGCTGCTAAAAAGAAAGATCTTTAAATCCCCATAAAATACGGTATGCACGTATACCACTTCTTAATAAGCCCAACAGCCACCTTTTCCTGTAGCACCAGAAAAATTGCAATTTCTTCAGTTAACTGTCTGATGAAATAATTGGCTTGCATTTAGAATCTTTAAGCCCAAGACTTTATATTCAGCAAGATGTTCTCCCCATGAGACTTGGGGCTCTCTCCATGCATGCCTGCACACGCTCTCCACATCGTTGGTCCTCAAGGAGCACTTAGATGAGGAGAAAGACCTGTAAAAAATAAACAGCACACGTAAATATTACCCAGGATACTGTATGCAGTGACAGAAACAGTGAAAGCGTTAGAAGTCGGAAAGTACTTAATCTGAGTAAACTGAGGCTCAGAGTTAAGGGATCAGTTAGCTCTTTCTTGGAGGAATTAGCAGGGGGAAGCATCTATAGAGGTGTTTCCTGAATGGGGTTTTGAAAAACGATGTAGAATCCACCGAGAGCAGAGCGGTGCAGTAGACGCAACAGTACGAGGAGGTTCGTGGGCACACAGAGCAGCCTGGTGGCTGGTGGCTCAGTACAGCCCTGGCGCCTGGCCTCCTGGATGGGGAGGTGCCCAGGGCAGTGGTGGGCGATGGGCCAGAGACCCGCCAGCACACCCTGGGAGCCCGTCTGCAGCTAGCAGAAGCCCTGGCACCTGCCTCCCTGCGCGGAGCTAGAGGGCCCTGGTGTGTTTTGGGGCCACGTACTTTGAGCAGTATTGTTGGGTTAAAAAAAGCTGATTTCTTCTCTAAAGGACAGCTCAGCGCCTTCACTGTACATCGGGAAGATGGAGAGGATAATGTATGCTATTTTTTTGGAAATGTACCTTTTCTCTAGAGCACCCTAGGACAAGGGTTATGAGCAACTCGGCGCATTATGGCTCCGTTCAGGTTCTGCTTCACTCCAACTGGGAGGGGCCGTATGAAACTGGGGCCCCCTGTTCTCACCCCCTATCTGGACAGTGCCCATCAAATAACTGCAGAATCAGCAGGATGGAGCTAGAGAGGCTCTCGGGGCCAGCCAGGCTGCCTCTCACTCGTCAAAGCCCCCAGCTCCTCTCTGGGTCTGCAGGTTACAGGTTTGGGTAACCACAGGCCCCATCCGTGTCCGGATAGCACGTGTCTCCTGCCCAGACAGTGAGCCCATGGCCCCAGTACATCCCAGAGCACTGGGTCTCAGCCTTCTGCAGAGGACCATTATTGGATCAGACTGGCCTGGATCCAGGTCTTCAGCCCTTTGGGTCCTCCGAGGGGTACCTGGAACGGCTGCAACGAATGCCTCAGAATGAAGACACCCTGGTGCTTTGAGGCCTCTCCACCCGGCACTCCTCCCCACTGTGCAGCCAGGGCATAGATGCCCACGATTGCCCTTCCCCAGCCCGTGTCTTCTTGAATCGACATGTCAGAGAGGTCCTGTCCCATGCCTGCCTCTCACAGCTGCCACGCCCATGACCACGGGGTCCCTAAAACCTCTAGCCCAAGCTCTAAGCATCCCTTCCCTCTCAGCCTTCAGCAGAAGTCCCTCCTGACTCCCCTCCTCCCCACACAAGCTGCTTCTCACCTCCCTGCTCCTGCCCTAGCTCTTCCCCAGCAATCCCCCATCTTCCTTCCTCCTCATGGGCTCCAGGCCCTTTTTTCACCAGTTTAAGACTTAGTGACTTTCTTTGCACTGGCTTCCCCAACTACGTCTTCCAAACTGTAGGACTCAAGGCTCTGCCTGCCATAGTCTTCCCTGAGTCATGCTTTCTGCTGAGGATCTCAGCTACTTGTTTCCTAAGCTCTAAGTAGTGCCTAGCTGAGATAGAGGTGCCTAGCATGGGCTTCAGTAAATACAGTAACGAATCACAACCAGCTAATGTCCAAGACCCCGGTGTGTTGACAGCAGGGTCAGGACACTAACCCATGTGCAGAGACCGTCACGGTGCTCATCTGAAGTGAGCAAATGTAGTATAACTTAGGCCATATTTGTTATACTGTCTCTGCAGTCCTTGTGTTTTGATTTTCCAGTCCAGTTTGTAAAAATGTACATGGAAAATGGAACATCTGCTACCCTAAAATGGAGTACATTTCTCTGATCAGAGTGGCAATGGTAGCAGCATCCTAAGTAGAGAGTCCTGAGTTTGCAAGATGATTCATTTCGTTCCACTTCATTATTTAATGTTATAAAGGGCATTAGTTTGCATGTCCTAACTCATGTCTACCATCTCTGTGACATGATTACTGTATAGTTCAGCTATTTTAACTCCAAGATTTCAGGTATTACTATTTGTGAGATTTTGTGCGAATCTGTGAAAGCATAGCAGTAACCTTTTATTAATTTAAAACTGTGAAAGTGAAACATACATGGGGTGACAAAAATGTCTGCAGTGAGAATTATTATGTAAAAACATTTAAAGACCAGTGATCCTATAACAAAGGGCCAGCGAGAGGGAAGGCAACAGCATCTGAGCCTGGATACCTAGAATCTAGCCATCGGGCAAGTCAGGCCACTTCTCTGGCCTCACCTTCCCCATTCTCTTTTAGGAGAAGCTTGGACCAATGGATTTCAAGGTCATTTCAGACCTTCTGTTTGATGGCCACAGATTTGGGGAGCCCAGAAATAATAGCAAGCCTCTCTGTCTGCAGTAAATGTCAAGCAATAACAATGCAAAGAAAGAACACAATGTTTTGTCCACATGTTTGTTGTAAAAGGCTCAGATGGATTTTGTGGTGATGAGAGGCTTCTTATCCCTTATTGGCGAAGTCCGGGCTTCTGTTTAATTTCATGGCCATTTGCTTTTCAGACGAGAGATTAAGCAGTTACTGTCAGAGTTGGATGAAGAGAAGAAAATCCGGCTTCGGTTGCAGGTGGGTCCCTCAGGGTCCTGCTGCCTCGTGAGAGGCTCAGTCAGGGGTGGGGACCGCCTCAGGGCTTCATTTTGAAAGTAGATGATGGTTACTTCTCTGCAGATTCAGATGCGCTTCCCCTGGCAATTTTCTTAGAACTGAGTAGGTTCACTTCGCATCCTCTGCTGCGGTCCAGGAGGTCTTCGGAAAGGGAGCCAAGAGTGAATGTGACCCCAGTTGGGGTTCTCATTTGGAATTTATCTGAAACGTCTCCTCTCTGAAAAGTTCCCTCCGATTTCTAAAGGCCTCATTATAGTAACTGCCAGAGGGCATGGTGCTGGGGGTCTTCATTGCCAGCTGGCTTCTGTCATTGGAACTCCAAGGACCACAGCTGTCCACACTCAGCACTTGCTTTTCATCTCTTCTCCCTGAGGGCCATGTCAGTCCTGCCAGGACATCAGAGCCCTGTCCCCCTCCATCCCCTGAACCAACTCAGCCATTACCAAATGGCAGAGAACGTGTGGGAGTTGCAAAGGGCCAAAGGCAGACTTTGAGCTTTCATCCAGTTGGTGTCCTTGGTGGTACCTGGGACCCATGCTTCCCATCACTTTGGGGGGCACTGAGAGACACCCCCTTGGGCCCGACCAGACACCACTGCCTTCCAACACCGCTAGGTGGTCCAGCCCATCGGGACAGCCCACTCTGCCCCCTGACCAGGACACTGGAACTCTTGCTGCTTTTGACAAATTTTGGCTACGGGTAGCCCGAGAAGGCACATCCCCACCATTTCCTAGCGCCGCGTGTCTGCGTGCCTGTGCTTTAGGTTTCTGTCACTCTGGCCTCGTTGTCTGCTCGTCATTCAGATGTCACTTCACCCATTCCACCTTGAAGAGTGTCAGGTTGATTATCATCTTTCATTCGACCAAGTTATCTTTCAGCTTCTCTCAAAGCAGTGAATTCATTATGATTTTGTCCGGCTCTTGTTTTTCCTTTATAGATGGAAGTTAATGACATAAAGAAAACTCTTCAATCAAAATGAATACTTGATCAATGAAATGTCACATTATTCATCCTGAGTCCAAGACTCAAATTTTCCGCCCCAGCCAAAATAACCTTGTGCCAAAAGATTAAAGGTTTGCCTCCACACGTCCCTGTTTGAAAGATTAGCACAGAAGTCTTGATAGCACAACACAAATTCCATCCAAGAGGAGACTCTTCCCCCTGGTATAATCCTGGGCACAGCACTGGTTGTGACTTAGAGCGAATTGTGCTAAAGGCTTTTTTACTGAGATCTCACGCGAAACGAAAACTCAGGCAGTTTAGTCCATAGTGGTACTATTTTGATGATATTTTCCATTAATAAAATGTAATTTCCGATTATTCGTTTACAAGCTTTATAATTTTATGATTTTTTTAATCGTGTTTTGTCACAGAGTCCCCCAGTGTCTGTATCACACATAGTCCAGAGCGAGCGTCCCATTCTTTTGCTTCAGGCAGAAAACTGCCTCGCTTTGTGTCCCCCCTAGGATTCTATTACATATGCAATTTTAGGTCCGACCCATCTCTTCCCCTGCCAGCCGACCCCGCCACCCTAAGATAAATTTTAGCTTATATATGATGGTATATTTACAAGAGAGAGAAAGAGAAAACCTGGTATTTGCAATGACCTGTGCCTTCTTTTTACCACCCTCTTGATTGGAGCTTTTGTGATGCAGCTACCATGATTCAAAGGAAAAACAAACAAACAAAAAACAAAACACCTTTTTTTAAAAGCGACTTCTCAGAGTCCACTAGAGGCCACTGTCTTCGAAGCTTCTGTCACCTAGCCAAAGGTCCCAGGAGGAGACAGCCGTGAAGCTGGGCGTGCTCTGTGGTACCAGCTATAACGTCGAAGTCCTCCTAGTTGTAGGTTGTTCATGGAACTAGAAGTGTCACCCTTGCTTGATTTTTCATCAGCCAAGTTAAACCCCTGCTTCCTGTCCTTTGCACCTTTTGCGTGAACAGAATATGCATTATGAAAGCAAAAATAAATAAACGTAAAATGCAATGAAAACAAGGGGGGGAAGTTGTGTTATTTTCTGCCCTGGGTTGCCCGTGTGTGCTGGTGTTCAGACTGTACCCACATAATGGCATTTGCCTTGTTCTCCTGTAACCCCCCTCCTCAGGTCCGAGAGAATGGGGGGACGCTGTTGTTGAAGTGTAGCCATTGGATCTTTCTTGCATTTATGGAATTGCTTTCTCCATCCCAAGGAAACCAGTGTTTGCCTGTCCGCTCTATCTCTGTAGCAAATGAACAGCTCAGCCTTAGACTATGTAACTGTTTCCTCATCCTTAGCTGAAAATAAGGGGGTGTACTGTATTGCAAGATTGTTTGGGGACTGGGGGGTGGGGGGTGGTCCCTTCAGGACCCCTGAAGGTGTTTTATGTGTTTCTCCAAAGCTGCTTTGTCTATTTCCTGAGTTTTAGAGTGAAAGTACTAAACATTAATGGATTTGCACAACCGCAATGAAGGAGAATGGATAACATGGAAGGAGTAATGCAAAAAAGAAATCACCACATGTTATTGGTTATCCAAAGTATTACAAACAAATTTCTCTTCCTACCTCTCTCCCTTCCCCGCCTTCCTCTTGCCTCCACGCTCATCCTCGCTGCTTGAGGCTACTACTTCCCCCCGAGTACTGTCCTTACAGAGCCCGACACCCTGTCTTCCAGGATGGGGGCATGATGACGGGAAGGGAGACCATAAAGAAAGAAACCCCCCGCCCTGCATCCCCATGTCTGGACAGATCACAGGGTGCTTGGGGCCGGGAGCACCAAGTTTCCGAGGGCAGCGTAAGACATTCCTGAACCCCTTCACTCTTCTAAGCATTTCTACGTTAAACTTAAAGCCTTGAGAGATTTCCCACCGCCTAGTGTAAGAATGAGGATTGAATTCTTTGACATTTGGATTTCTCATTTACTCATCATGAAGATCCCTAACGCTCTAGTTTTATATGATGTGTATACAGAGTAGGATTGTTATAATGAAATTGAGAGGCTGAGCGCCCTCGTGGGGCACTAGCAACCTGGAATGTAGAGGGCTATCATCTTGCCCTCGTAGAAGCCACGGGCTTTCTTTGTATGAAGAGAGGGCAAAGTGATTCTAGAAGGAGGAGTTGGCCTAACTAGCTTCCTTACTGCCCCTTGGGCTAACCAGCCAGAGGATTCTACATTATGGAACTGCTGAGCCACTGTCCAAACAGCCACCACCTTGACTCTACAAAATGGACCCGTCAAGAATATTGAGAAGCTTGGAAAGATCACTTGAAAAAATTCTTTTGCATTCAGCATGGACTCGACCAGCATCTATGGAGATTATTTTTTTGCTTCATTTTCTAAAATTGTATTTAGAAAAGTCTTAAGTATTGTGCTTTGTAAAGAAGATGATTAAAATGAAATTTTGTGAAAATATTTTTGTTCAAAGTTGTCATGGTCCAAGAGGAATGATTTCTTGGAATTCAAACCATTTTTCTCCATTTTACACAATTTGATTACTCTTCTAGAAATGTCTTTGGAAGACATGGAATATAGTACCCCTCACCCCAATTATCTTTCCCAAGTGAACAGAAATAACCCATTAAAATCCATGGCTGTGAATTCCATTTTTACATTGTTGGATTTTACATTCATATTTCGGCAGAAAATTCTAGTTAGGTCTACATTGTTTTTTAGTGTAAAAATCATTAAATTATCATTATTCAAATAATTGTGTAAGGCCACTTTTATTCATCCACAGCCCTCTAGACAGCATACTTAAGTACCTGATTTGTTTTCTTCCATAAAGACAGCCTGTATCTATCATCACATGTGTGTCTTTGGTTACTATTGGTGGAGTTTTATTTCCTTTCATAACCAGCTCCTTGATGGGAAAACCACAGGGTGTGTAATTTATTGCTCACAGTTGCCACAGTCTGTATTAAAAATAATCCCCAGGTCCCACAAAGCCCTTTGTATCCTAACCTGAGGTCACCAGGGTCTCTGTTCTGTATCAGATTAGGTTTTAGTTCTCTAGCTATTTTCACACAAATTAATGTCAAGATGTTTTAGACCAAGAGGGGCTGGTGAAAAGCTTTTCTTTTTGGTTCGATACAAATGAGACATGTAACAAAGCATCACGTGCGTGGGTGCTAGGCGTTCGGCACAGCTGATTGCAGTGTCCAACAGAGCAAAGGCTTGGAGCTTACGACCAAAGCCTGGGGAAGAAGATGCCATTCCCCAAATTAGGTGTAATGAGGGAACACAGTGGCCAAGGCAGAGGAACTCTTTCCTGATCAGAAATAAATGTTTGTTGGTAGTGTAAGGACGGGGTGGGGGGGGGTCATGTCTCTTAAGGTGATAAGCAGTTGCTGTCATTCCTAGTTCTATCCCTAGTCACTGAGGCTTGATTCCCAACACATGGAGCAGAAGGCAGCCCCTGAAGCCAACAGGAGTCCATGGAGTAGCTGCACATCCAGAGAGGTGGTTTTATTTCATGTGTTTTTAATCAGTCCCAAACTGGAGTGGCTGTGGGGGCAGCCTTTCCTAGAAATGACATTGTGCGGTCATCATGTTTGTGAATACAGAGTTCATGGTAAAATAGGCTATTCCTTTTTTCTTGTTAGAGCAATAAGTGATAAAATATTTCTTTTGTGGGGGCACTGGGGTGGCTCAGCGGTTGAGCGTCTGCCTTTGGCTCAGGGCATGGTCCCGGTCCCGGGATCGAGTCCCACATCGGGCTCCCCACAGGGAGCCTGTTTCTCCCTCTGCCTGTGTCTCTACCACTCTCTCTGTGTCTCTCATGAATAAATAAAATTTAAAAACTTTTTAAATATTTTTTTAAAAAAAGATTTTATTTATTTGAGAGAGAGAGCATGCACAAGCGGAGGAGGGAGAAGCAGACTCCCTGCAGAGCAGGGAGCCTGATGCAGGGCTCATTCCTAGGACCCCGAGATCATGACCTGAGCCAAAAGCAGACACTTAATGAACTGAACCACCCAGGCACCCACAGCACTGTCATTTAAATTGTGAAGGCTTCCCTTCCCTCTCACCCCTATAGAATGTTACTAGTTCTCCAGGAAACTAAGATTTGTTGTCAAGCTTTGAGTTCTTTGATGGGAAAGTGCCCTGGAAATGCAAAACTTCATTATAGTTTCTATTAACTAAAAAAAAAAATTTAGCGGGGTTCACACACCAACTTTAAAAATAAGCAAGTGATAAGGCCATCCTGAAGCCAAACAGAAAAACTAGGAAAAAATCAATAACATTTCCATGGTTATTCCCCAAAAGAAAAACCGATGTCTTAAGAGAAATGGAGTGGATTCTCTTCAAGCTTCATGATTCTTTCTTAGTCTGCAGCTCAATCTGAGTGATGCGAGAACTTGGCTGGGGCAAGCTGAACATGTATCAAGTCCTTACGTTGTGCTGGGCACCAGGATATGTGCTGAAGGCAACGTGGCCTCTGCTCATGGAGCTCAAATTGAAGGAATAAGCAGATAAGCAGGCAAGTTTTCCGCAGTACAAGAACATGACCACAGAAGTCCAGGGACTTTGGAACTGCAGAGGAGAGGTGCCCAAAGGAGCCTTGAGTATGGGGAGACCAGAGGAAGAGGGGTATTTTTGGTTAAGCCCAATTAAAAAAAAATTTAATAGATTTATTTATTCTTTTAGAGAGAGAGCACGAGCAGGAGGGACAGAGGGGGAGGGAGACAATCTCAAGCAGACTCCATGCTGAGCACGGAGCCCGACGTGGGGCTCAATCTTATGACCTTGAGATCATGACCTGAGCCGAAACTAAGAGTCAGAGGCTTAACCACCTGTACCATCCAGGCACTCCTAAATCCAACTTTTTTAGGTTATAAAGCTGTGATGAACATCTTTGGGCATAAATCTATGCCCACATTTCTGATTTATCCTTATTAAGACAATTCCTAGAAGTGGAGTGTGACTATGAATTACCTAAGATTTTAGCAAGAATAATTTTTGCACAAGCAACAAGATAAAAAATGAACAAGTGGGACTATATCAAACTAAAAAGTTTCGGCATAGCAAAAGAAACCATCAACAAAGTGAAATGACAACCTATGGAATAGGAAAAAAAATATTTGCAAACCACACATCTGATAAGGGGTTAATATCAAAAACATAAAGAATTCATTCACCTCAGTAGCAGAAAAAAACCAAATAACCCAACTTGAAAATAGGCAAAAGACCTGAACAGACATTTCTCCAAAGACAATATACAAAAGGCCAACAGGTACATGAAAAGATGCTCAACATCAGTAGTTATTAGGGAAATACAAACCAGAACCACAATGAGATATCACCTCACACCTGTTAGAATGGTCATCATCAAAAAGACGAGA